CCGTCCAGGTAGGCTACGCCTTTGGGGCCGACCAAATGCGGGCAGGTGAGCAGCAACACGGGCATGTCCCAGGCCAGTCGGGCAGCATGGGCGCCTGGGGCACCGGGCTGGAAACTCTCAACGTGGCTGGTGAAGGCGACCCTGCGAAGTAAGCCAGGCGGTGTGTTCTTGTCGGCCGCAGGGTTGATGTGCTCGGCCAGTGGAGAGTGCTCCCTGCTTCCTCACTATTTATAAATCCCCGCGCTGCAGCCTCGCACTCGGGAGGCTGGTTTTCAGTTGTCAAGTGTACCTACCTTTGAAAACACGCTTACGTTGCCCAAGGGCAGCGGGCCCTATGGATGTATGTCCTTCCTCATGGGGCCCTGTGCCCCGTCCTTCCTCCTGGTCCGGCCCTGCGCCTCCTGCCAGAGGTCCTCTGCTGCCTCTGCTCCATACCACCAGGTACCGTTTCGTGACCGTCCCCACCCCCAGATGTGGTGCCTCGCTGCCCACCTGAGACCAGGATTCGGAAGTCAGCTTAAAAGATGGCGGCTACCTTCGGGCAGCTTTTTATCCGGGAGCCAAACTGGTGGGGAGCTTTGGAAAGCCAGGGCTTCTCCTCCACTGCTCTGAAGGCCCTTTGGAATCGAGGAGTGAGAATCTCGCGTGGGCTTTCTTTGCCGGCATGTTGGAAGGCCGTGTTCCCGATGTTTTAAATGAAGGTGGTGGTTCTTGGGAAATAACCCCTCCCGAGGTTTTCAGGGCGTGGCCCTGGGGCCCAGTAGCTTGTGCCCACTGGGGCAGGAACTGGAAGCTGCAGATTCTTGGGCACCCCCCTACAGCCCAAGGCCATTGGGACACTTGCTTAATGATAGTGTCTTTATTAAAAGACCGAACTAATGTTCACAAAGCCGCCTAAAGTACCACTCCAGAACCACGTGCCCATAAGAAACCGGGGTGCCCATATCCCTGGAGGTGGCTCTGCACTGTGGGGTAGGGCGGGGCCCAGGCCTGGCCTGTGGCAGCCATGCCTGCACTGTACAGAATGCATCAGGGCCCCCCGTTCCCGGGTCCGAAGGCACAGCGGGCCCCTGTGATGAGGCAGGCCTGCCGTGCCACGCGCCTTGTTGGGGGACCACGGAATAAAGTGTCACCTGGATTACCTATCGTGTGCTGTGTGTGTGTGTGTTGGCCGTGTGTATGTCTGCCGTGCTTGTGCATGTGTGTTCCTGATGTTGTCGGGGGTTCACACACATCCTGCCACCTCACCAACCCAAGGACGCCTATAGGTGGCCCAGGAGCTGGGGGCAAGGCAGATTTGCCTGCTGCCTGGTTCGAAGGCCTGGGGCAGTGCCCTGGATGAGCAGTCAGCCACAAGGTCATTTTCCTGGACACAGATGGGCTCCTCAGGAGGTGGGGGGGACCTCACTCCCCCCTGGACATAGGCAGGCCCAGAGAGCCAAAGGGGCAGGGTGGGCATGTGAAGCCTGTTGGTGTGCGGGTCACCCTGCCTGGGTGCTGCTGCTCACCCCAGAGGGGCTCATAGCATGAGCCAGCCCACATCTGGATGTCAGGAGGGCCAGCTGTGGTCTAGTGGCGAGGCCTTCTGGGGCCACTAAGCAGAGGGGCTTGGCAACAGGGTGGGATCTCCAATTGTCTCCAGCCCCCCCCAGTGGCACGCCGCCTTACCCTGAACCCCCGGGATCCCCATCAGCCCTGCTCACCACCAACACAGGGCTCCCCGGACACCGAAGCCCACCCCTTGCCACCACCTAGTTGACCCTCACACCCATCTACCTGGCCTGCCCAGACTCCATGCTCACAGCCTGTGCCTGTTGCCCATCCTGCCCTCCAGTCTCTCACGGCCACCCCCTGGTCCCGAGTGCCGGGTGAGGTGGAAGGGACTGAGGACAGCCCGGCCCTGTTTTCTGCAGGTAGGACAGTGGGTGGGGAACCCCCTAGCCTGGGCACACCTTCAGCCTGGCCCCCAGCTGACCACACCCGTCTGCTTTGTGTGGACTTTTAGCCCTGCACCATCCAGGTTCTGCAGGCTTTGGGCACACTCTCAGGGGCCCTGCCTGAGACCCCAGGCCGCTGACAGGGCAGCCAGGACCTCCCTCTGGGTTCTGAGAGCTCCCTGAGGCCCAAGCTAGAGCCCAGCTTTCTAGTTTGCCCTTGCCACACCAAGGCATGGGGCTGCCCGCCCCCCGGCCCAGGTGACTGGGCTGGACCCCAGAAAGAACTCTGCAGTGGAGTCAATGCACTAAGGACCGACAGGATGAGGCAGAACCGCCCCGGTGGGTTCCAAGGCTCACTCTTTACTGGGCTAGAAAGCCCCGCGTCTCTGCTGGTTTTCAACCACTGACCTTGCAGTTGGCCCAACGGGTAACCACAGCCCTCCGGCCCCTCTATCAGAAGGAATGGACACTCAGAACTGGGGAGCTGTTGTGCTGCCTGTTGGCCAGGACAACCCCCAACACCCCCCCCACCCCCTTTTCTTCCTGTGACAACACCCATCCCTGAAGCCAACGGGCAAGCCCCATCCCAGGGTGGCTAGCACCGAGGGCTCCAAGCAGCCAGCCTCCAGGGACAGTGGGAAGACAGGCCCAGTGGTGGGGGAACGTCATCTACTTCCCGGAGCAAAGAGCCATGATTGGACCCAGGGAGGCAGGGCTGGGGCAGCTGGCTAGCGAGTGAGAGACGTGGGGGGACTTGCCCGCCTTCCCCAGAGATGCTCACTAAGGACTTCTAAATGCAGTGTCTACCCATCCCCCCATATGGAGGTAGGAGGCCCACCTGGGGTGGGGGGTAGAACAATAGTCAGTTTCTGGACGTCCGGAATGTCTCCCAGGCAACAGATGGGAACTGATTCCAAAGGCAGCCACCAAGGCCAAGGGGCGGGGGAAACCAACTTGAGACAAGAGGCACCCCCAGTCAGGGAGGGCAAGGACACCCCAAACCCCTCTGCTCACCAGACTGCACCAGACATGACAGGGCAGGAGGTGAGGACCCAGGGCCTGAAGGGAGCTAGGCGTCATGAGCTGCAGGTAAGGGGCGTGGCCACTCCAGTGGGGCAGGTAGTAGGCATGGCCACAAACTAGGCCGGCCTCCAAGTGAGGGTGTGGCCATGAGAACTCATTTACCCTGGTGCCCGCCACCTATGTGCAGCACCGCCCATGGGAGAACCACCACTCGGGGACCCCAGGTCTGCCAGGGCAGGGGGTAGCGAGGTGGTGTTAGGGGCCTGGGGCTGGTCTCTGAGCAGGTGGTGCTTTTCTGCGTGGAGGGTTGGGCACCACCCAGGCTCTTGTCTGGGAATTGGAGGGAGGGGCATGGAGGTCAGTTGGTCCAGTTGGTCCGCACCTCCAAGAGTACTTCCAGTACTTACTGCCCACCAGTGGGGCCAGGCAGTGCCCACCCCCCACCATCCTGGTTCATCTTCCTGCTTCCTCGGGTGTGAACTGAAGGGGGACACCTGGGGCTTACCTCAGCACCCAAACTAGCCCACAGCCGGTACCCAACAGCAAGTGGGGGCGGGGAGGGCTGGGTTGGCCTCCAGCTTCACAGGGGACCTGGGGCAACCCACCAGGAGAGCGCCAGAAACCTGTCACTGCCCAGGTCAGAAGCTGGGTGGGGGACAGCCTGAGCCTGCAAGGGGACTGTCTGGGTGACCCACTCCCCCCAAGCTGGGCTCCCCAACACGTATCGACCTGAACCCCAACACCAAAAACCACAAGGAAATCTTCCACCCCTCACGTGAGAATCGGGGGACAGGGGAGCTCAGAGGGGGCTTTGGTGCCTACTACTGGAGATCCGTTCCCCACCAGCCCAGGCGCCTACCTTAGTCTTGATACCTAGTGCCCGCCAGGGGGCACTGCTCACCCAGTTCTTCCTGGAATGCATCTCCGGGCTGCTACAAGACTAAGACCCTAGAGAATCTGTCTAGTTGGCCCCCTCCAGAGTCCCAAAGACACAGAAATGACACCAAGGATGACCTCTGGGGTCTGCCCTGCCAGCCCCTGGGCCTCATGGGGCTCCCCGAACCGGCCCACCCTCCAGCTGGCTTCTCCCCAGGGCACATCTTCTCCAACGTCAAGGTGGGTGGGGTGGGGTGGGGACGGAACTTGGTGGTCATGTCCCAGACAGTTGATTACCTTTGCAACACTCACCGCCCCCCACACCCCCAAAGGAGCAGCCATTGTTCTTGTCACTCCCAGAATCCTTCCTGCTCCCCCGAGATCGAATCATTGACCACACCCATATTCACAGAAAAACAGGCAAGAAAGCTCCGAGCAAGGCTTCGAACCAGCCATCTCTTTATTTTCTGGAAAGCATGCCTGCAGCAATCTGTCTCTGTGGCTTACTCTGGCAGACACCTCTGTGGCTTACTCTGGCCACGACACGGCTGGGGTCCCCCAGAGATCTGGGACCCCTACCTTCCGCCCCAACGCCCAGCCACCTACCCTGTGCAGCCCACCCACAAGCAGGGAGGGCAGCCACCTGGACGGGGCAGCGCTCCGTAACAGTACAGAAAAGTAAAACCAAACACAAAAGTTCGTGGATTTCTCCCCCGCGTTCAGAAGAGGAAAGTAGGCCGGCCTGTGACCGTCTGCAGCACTGTGTAATAAGTGTTAAGTCTACAGCAAATATATTTTGTAAAAACTCAATAAATTATATATATAAACTTGTAACATCTAATAACATCAGAACCTGCACACAAGGTCAGCCCCCTCACCGGAGACTGGCCAAACCCAGAGCAGGCAGTGAGGGCAGGGGGGAGGGGGTAACTCTGGACTCCTCTTGAAATCCAAAAACACATCTAAAGAAAAATCCCCGCAGAAACTGGGTCCCCTCCTTACAAGAGAAGGCCCAAGGAAAGGAGAGCCCCTCACCCCACCCCCCAATCACTTCACCTGACACCATTCAAGGCTTTGAGAGGGTCAGGCAGGCTCCAGCCTCAGGGAGCAGGTTGGCTGCTGGGGGGTGGGGGGGACCGGACCCTGTGCCTACCGCTGCCCCTGTAAAATACGGCATATATGCTCCCAGCTGTTAATAAGTTAAAACTTAAAACTCTGTCATTTGGCTTGCTAAACACTACGGACGCGGCATGGGTGAGGGGTTTGGGTTGATAAATAACTTTACAAATATACAGTCCAGGTACAATTTTTAAAACAAAACTGTCACATCAAATCACCCACTTCTTCCTGTGTCTGCATCCCCAATGGGGGCTGCCCCCCCCCCCGACTCCTGCATCCCCCAGGGTCCTGGGCCTTGGTTGTACTAGCCTCCTTCCATATAGTTATTCTTATATATATTTGTATGTATATATCTCATATACACGCGCTATTTATATAAATGTACACATACTTCTGGAATAAACCTTCGGATAGAAGTAAAGGCTCGCCTGCCTTCAGGTACCCGTAATTTCAGTCTCTGGTGGGACAGGGTGGGAGAGATGGGGGGCCTGGAAATTGGGAGGCTACCTGCTGACACGCTCTGCTCACCTAGACTTAA